TGTGTGTGTGTGCGCGCGTGTGCACAAATCTATATGGAAAATCTGACCGACTAGAATCTACCATGATATCATAAAATCTAACCTGACATTCTGGTATAATATTATATTACAGGTATGTATAATAACTGCACATACCACCATTAAGATCAATATCATAAGATCTAATGCAAAAAGTGCGTGAATATGATACGTATACTGCGGCCCTGTAACCGCCAGCATCAATGGATTAACGATTCAACCCTAGGGTGCCGCGCGCCAACGGCCTGCAAAAACTTACTCCTGAACCCTAATGAGCTACACATCTATCAACCCTTCAGAAGCACTCCGAGTCCGACAGACCCTTGAATCAGCACACTGCAGGCAAGGGTTTCGGCTCCGAGCAAAGTAGATGCCGCCGCCGCACCAGCCAGAATGACCAAGGTGGAAGCCTTCTCTCAGAATCCTTGGTTGTTTAGGGATCCACGTGCGGAAACCGACTTAATCTACTCCGATATTGCCGAAACCCTCAACCCTCCTTCATCCGTAATCGTCGTAGTCACGGAGTCTATAATCTCGTTGCACGGTTTTGCGGGCCAGTTCCTCTGCGAAGCACGAATTTTCTGGCCCCGAACATGGGGAAACAGGCGGAAACAGGAATCCCACTGCTCCAATCGACCTGGTCACCGACTCTAGTGCGCAAAAGAGGTCGAGGGTATTCTTCTACATGCTGTATGTCGATCAGAAAAAGAACCCAACAGGTAGACTCAAAAGAAAGAGCCCTACAAGTACCTGAGTTTGAGCAACCCGCCATATAAGCCTGGTATCTCTAACTCTTGTCTGCATGAAACCCAAACCCCTAAACATAACAGCCGGGCATCTGCGGGCCGATGTTGCAACCAGTCTGCAGGGAAACACGTTTACGGGCCAGGGCTGCGGACATATGGTTGCAGTTGCTCCTGATATTGGCTTTCACACCAGCAAGTTTGTGTGATTTATGATGATGCCACGTGCACTGCACTTTTACTGCGAATGGTGCTGTTGATTTTGTGGTGCGATTGTCGCTGCATCGCATCTTCGTGGCACTGGCTTTACTGCTGCTATAAGAATGATTGATACTTCTGGGATTGTTGCTATCATAGAGCAACGGCGCGCTGACGGCGGTTGCAGAAGCTTTGATGCAAGCTGGTGGTTAGGAGAAAGCCTGGAGCGAGGATGTTACATCTCGGTGTACGGCCTTGGGGATGGGGTTTTAAGATGGATTCGACTCTCGCAACTCGCACATGGCACACGCGGCTTCACCACCCAAACTACCCCAGCAGACGCGACGCACGAACCCGATCTAAGCACAGTATTCGAACCGATCGACGAGGCCTTCACACACTCTGCCAGGCCATCCGTACATTGACACAGGGCCGGCTAGACCCTGAACTTCGAACCCCATATCACACACGATCAACATCCACAGAACCAGCCTTCACGCCCTCATGTTCCAATTCAACCGAGTACATCGGAGCTGTCGGTTGATGTAAGCACACCCCTGCACACCGAATGCTTCTGCAAAAGTGGAAAGGAAATACTTGTTTAGGTTCGTTGCGCAACATGCAAAGGCACAGACTGGTGCTATCTTCGTCTGTTTATGCGTACGGCGTACACTTCGACAGACCCCTACGTTACATGTGTCGACATACCAATAGACATGGAACAAGTCCTGGGCAGCGCAACATCTAGACATTGCAGCAATTACATGACCCTCCACAGCGGCGGCGAAACCAGCTCCAGCGCTTGTGTTAGGGCCCTCTCCAGTGACTGCAGGGTCGTGGACGGCGATTTGATCTGACCTCTGGGAATCCTTGCGACCGCTCGTCACCACTGTAGGCAGCGCAACTTTGAGACCCATGCTGTTCGCCTCGAAACGGATCTTCGAGGCTGCTGTTGGGCCTGTGGTGTCGAGTGTCTTGTCCGAGTCGATGGTGATATTGGAAAAGATGCCAACCTCAACCCTCTTGCGGAAAGTGGGGGGTGCATTTCGGGCAATCTGGATGCGAGTCCTGGTACGCCAGGAATGTGTACTTGTACATCCCACTGGGGAAATTCTTCACATCCGGGCACTTCTCTGCGAGCGTCGTGCCTTACAGCCAGGGGTGTTGTGAACCATCCCCAGAATCGTCATCAATAACACCATTGCTGGTGTAGGTGGGGCAGAGACCTGGCTGAGAAGCCGTTGCTGATGATCAGCTGCGCCAGCATCATCTGTATCGAACTTCTGGTCGGTTCCCATGGCTTCGCAAAGTCCGTGGCAACCAGGTTGGCCCTTGCCACACCATCCACGATCTCGTCAAGTCCGCCCATAGTGGGATGTTCTGTCAACCTGGACTTTGACGGTGGAGCCACTGACGCGCACTAGATCGTATTTGGTGCCGTTGTCTGTTATGGCGGGCGCTTCATAGACAAGTTTCAGGTTGTCCGTGTAGCCATTGGGGTGCCAGCAGAACCGAGAGGCACTCCTCCAAACCAGCGTCGGTGCTCGGGTCTGAGCAGACATACTTTGCCTGCATTGGCCCTGACCTAAACCACGTACCCTCTGCATTTACCGGGAGCGTTTTGGCCAGAGCATGCAGCCAGGAAGGGTCGCATGGCTCTGTGATGCAGGCGACTCCGAGGACTCGATTGCTTCCGGGCAGGTCGCTTCTTGAGCCAAGAGGACCAGATCTTAAGCCGAGAACAAGCCTGAACAACATCTCTTAGCTCCAAACGCTGAACTTGACACACCCAGCCTGGTGGTAGACAGTAATCACGTCTCCCATTGCACCACGGTTCCTCGGATCTTCGAATGTGCACTTTGGCAACCAAACATCTCCTGCCACTCCCCGCAATCATAGAAGCTGCAACTTTGGACGCCGTAGGCCCGCAGTTAAAAGACTGTTCTTAATATGCATCTGGCTCTATACTATAGTATACTATAGTGCTATAGCACATGCTCAAGAAATATTCGCTATTCTTAGTGAGCCCTTGATCTATCCTATACCGACAAAAGGACTCAATAGGAACACTCAGGCAAAGAAGAGGGTCCAAACCTGAGATCAAAACTGCACCCGACCTTTGCACAGCTCAGCTTTATGAAGAGGTACATGGTACTGTTCTGATCACCTCAACTTAGGGTTGTAGCCACTCAGCTGGAGTAAGCAGCAGGGGTGACCACAGTGATGCACCGGGGGTTTTGAGTTTAGGTAAAAGTAACTTTAAAAGTAATGGAGACTTTAAGTAGAGGTAGAAATAAGCGAATGTTGAGCTGCTGGTTGCAGTTTATTCGGCTTTTGCCGGCCAGTTCTGCTTGCTAAGAATCTAGGTGTATCCAAGCAAAAGGTAGCAAGGAAGGTAATAGAAGCTAGAACGGGGGAAAACGAAGCACCCATTAGGAGCCAGGCACGACACAGGTTTGCGCAAATACCCAGCCGCTGCTTTTGTTTTAATATCTTTCCCAGGTGCCTGCTCGATTCAGCTTTTACGTTTTGACCGTCTGCTGCCGTTCCGACAGTTGCTCTGCAACCAACCCTAAACCCCTTAAACCCTAAACCCTCAACTAAATTCCTTAACCCCTAAACCCCTTTAACCTTAAACTCTAACTCCTCAAGCCTTAAACCCTAAACCCTTCATCCCTTACACTCACCACGACCAAGTCATCGATTGCCTGTCGAGCTCGGCCTTGCCTATTCGTGTGGCGCAAACGCAGTGCCTCGAAGTCTCGGATTCCTTGGCCTAAACCTTACTTGGAGGATCATGGGAAAGAGTAACTAAGTAAGGATTAAAGTACCTTGACTCGGGCTATAAGAAATTAAGTGTAGTTACCTTGTTTTTAACCTTATTTACAAAGTCCCATGATTCTCCAAGGAAACCCTGCTTGAGTACGTGCCCATCCCTCAGCCGAAGCTTCACCCTGGGAGCAACAGCCTTCGTCGTCGTAAACAACCTACGCAAACCTTCACATAAAAGGATTGTGTATGTCTGTATGCATTTGTGGATGTATGCATGTCCGTCTGTCGTTCTGCTTGTCAGTATGCTTCAGTCAGAATGTTTGACTGACACAGGTAACAGAAGCTTGATGACCAACCACGAATACGGTACTAGGTGACGTTTCCGGTCGGTGAAGCCCAGATATACTCGTGTCAACGGAACTGTAGGCAAACATGAATTGAACTCTTAGTGCGGCCAGAAGTCGCACAGCTGTCAGATCCGGAGCCTGAAGAAGACGAGGAAGGGGGTGGAGAAGGGCTGTCATGATGCCCTGTGGCAACGCAGGTGTGCCAGTGGATAACCTTGGAGCACAGGGCTTCCTTTAAAATTTCAAACTATATACCGCAATACATACATATACGTACGTACATCCAGACATACATATATGACATACATACATACATACATACATACATACGTACATACGTACATACGTACATACATACATACATACATACATACATACATACATACATACATACATACATATGCTGCGCGTAAACAAAGTCATGCTCGAATCACGGTAAGTGCGGACGACCTGAGGACAGGGAGCGATGATCAGAATACCCGCAAGTGCAGCCACAAAGACCCTGATGCAAAACCCGAAAATGAATGACCACTGCCTTGGCAAATCAGCACAAAATACAATCTTCGGCCAGGTGGCAGGCCACCACCTCACTGAACGACAGGCTGGTGGATCATAGCGCGCATGCCAGCGGCAGCAGGAATTCCCTGGTCCACAGAAGTTGGAACACGAACCGGCACCATGGCATCGGTACCAGCAATTGGCACCTGCATGCCAAAGGCCTGTGGATCCCAACTCATCCTCCTCTGGTCCAGCGCCCAAGGAGTCCGAAGAATCTGAAGGCGCCGGCATCTCTGGGCAGAGCGGATCACATTCAATCCACTTGGGTGAGCCGGGCGGCACAGCTTCCTTTCCTTTGAATGCTTGAATAACCTCCTCTTCCGAACCATAAGCATGTTCTTCTTCTGATGCATTTGGTTGGCGCCGATGCTGCAAGGCACTCAAGGCGCAAGAGCCCTCTGCACACTCATCGTTGAACTCTAGGACGTCTTCTGGGAGGCTCTCGCCGCTGCAAAGCGACAAGGCTGAAGCAATAATGCAAAGGCGCAGCATGTGGTGAGGCGGGGTCAGGAGGAACGCTGAAAACAAAAGAAAGAGAGACCTTCTAGTGGCCGATACTCGCCACGTTTCGGGCAGAACACGGCTTCAATCACACAACTAGCAGCACCGACATGCAGCTGCTCCCCCAGAACACCTCCGACGCATCGCGCGAGATCTCACAACAGCGGACAAGGCATCATGAAGCTGCTCGGTACCTATCTGCTTGCTGCCAAGGAGGCAGTACATGCCCAGTTGCACGTCAAAGCTGTGGAAGTCGCGTGGCAACGGCTGCCCTGCGGTCCTTGGTGAGACTCTTGCGTGTGAATTCTGCTGAAACCACGGGAGAAACAGGGAGCTGTCACCCCATGCTTTGCAAAGGGCATGACGTCTCTCGGATGAACGGTAGACTCAGTCGATCATGGGAGGTTGAGGTCTCCGAGGCAGAGGGCCACTGCTCACGACCGTGGGGATGCAGTCAAAGACCCAGGAGCCCCAACCCTAAATCAAGCAAGCCACAAAGCAAACGTGTCTAGAAGTTCAAGCCACCAACGATCTTGAGGGGATCGAGTGGAGAGGCTTCGGATTAAACCCAAGTCACAGCAGCTTCAGAAGGTACGCAAGGTCATATGAACCTGCAACATCTAAAGCCGCGACTGTAACTGCTAGATGGATTCAACGGCTCAGGGCTTCGGGGTGCAGCATGTTGGGCAAAGCGCTGCTTGAACCATACTCCCTTGGAAGACTCGTAAATCACCACCAGCCATCTGCACTTGTCGATTTGCTGTTCCTTAGGCTGCATTGCTCCGTCGGGACCATGTGAGCTGGGGAGATGGTCAATGCTTGCATGTAGGTTTTACGACATGCGATTCTTGAAACCCTAACCCTCCAGGTACCTACTTTTTAGGGCCTTAGGGGCTCTAGTACCCTATATAGTAGGTACCCGGGGCGGTAGGGAAACATACATAAATACAGTCAGACAGGCAGGCAGGCAGGCAGGCAGGCAGGCAAGCGGACAGACACACGGCCAGGCAAACAGCCAGGCAGACAGATAAACATGCAGACCTGCCGGCATACATATACGTACATACAGTATGTTACAGTGCATTGCATTCCATTTCGTTATGTACCACACATACAGGCCTGCTCACGAATCATACACCCATTCTTACCCACACACCTACTTACAGACATACATGGCACACACATGCATGCGTGCATATATACGGACAGACAGGCGGACATACACACACACACACATACATACATACATACATACCTACCTACCTACATACATGCATAAATCCACATAGTTTGCAATCGTACATCCACTCGTTCATCATCCATCCATGCATACATACACACAGATGCATCTGTTTGCGCGGGCGCATGTGCACATCTGCATGTACGTACGTGCTCGTGTGTCTGCGTATATAGGCATACATTCAGGTACAAGTACGTAAGTGCGTGCGTGCGTGCGTGTACGCATCGGTATACATATGCACGTCCCTGCTTAGAAGCCAGACCGCAATCTAAACGCGGCATCCTGCCGGGTGAAAGACGGATTCCAGGGTGGATCTCAAGCTGTCATCTCCCATCCGACGGGACAGACGCCCACATGGTTGACGATATGTAGAGAAACTCTACTTGTGTCATGACACCAACTGCGTTAAACAATCTGTTCCGTTACAATCCGAGACATTCCTACCGGATTGTCACCGGTTCCCGTGAGAAGTCGACACAAAAAAGGAGCAGGTGAGAGAGACAGGAAGACAGAAGAGCACATGAGTAAATTCAAGGTTTTGTACTGATCTACACATACATGCATACTAATTAACTATCCCTGTCTGCTCTTGTCCTTCTCCTTCTTCTTCTTCTTCACTGTCTTCATTTTCTGTAGAATTCCCGCTGCTCTCGGAACCAAACATCCATGCACTGTCCGATCGGTGCAGCGCGCCCATGCCCGCCTGCGAATGTGACCCAAGAGGGTGCCCGTGGTCCGACCAAGGACGAGTTGGCGAGCTTCTGGCCCAGGACGACTGAGCGACAGGGACCCGATAAAGGCCAAAACATCTGTCGGCGGGACGCTACCTCTAAACCCTAAACCGTCAAGCTCTATTGTATTAGATCTGATCATATCGCATTATACTATACTGTGTGCATGTATAATTCTATAATATATATATATATGTATATATACATATTTACCTATAGTTATTAATTATTTATGTTTATGTTTATAGTTATATTCATATTCACATTATACCTAGAACTTCAAGGGTTCGATCGTCTTCCGAACCGCTTTTTGGGATTTGGGGTTCTCGCCTTTTCCGCCCACCGCGTTGTTTGGGCCCCGGGGCGGCTTTTCAGTCAATTAGCGGCCCCGTGCCTGGGATGTCGCTAAACAGTTTGGGGGTATAGGGCTTAGAGTTTAGGGCTTAGGGTTTAGAGTTTAGGGCTTGGGGTTTGGGGTTCAGGGTTTAAGGTTCAGGGTTTCGGGTTTAGGGCCTGTTCTGAGGTGATGGCATCAGCTGAGGGACATTTTGAAACTAACTCTACAGGACTTTCATCCATGGACGCTACGTACTCAGAAGGACGACTTCGGGCTGCTATGATGTTCTGCTGTGAGGCCCCGGTGCTAGCCCCAAAATCCACAAACAAAGGTCCTGAAACCCTACGCCCTACACTCCCTCTACCCTGAACCTAAACCCTAAACCCTACACCCCACTCTACCCTGAACCTAAACCCTACACCCTAAACCCTACACTCCAACCTAAACCCTAAACCCTAAGCTCCCTCTACCCTGAACCCTAAAACCTAAAGCCCTAAACTCTACACTCCCTCTAGCCTGAACCTTTTTGAAACCGGACTTGATGACTGCCAGCACTGCCTCCTCTGCCGTTCTTCAGCCGAGGCCCTCTAGCCTGAACCTAAACCCTAAACCCTAAACCCTACACTCCCTCTAAAACGCTAAACCCTACACTTCCTCTACCCGGAACCCTAAAACCCTAAACCTCAGAAGCTCTCGGCGCCTGGATCGATCCCCTCCTTCTTGTGGCGGGGAAAGTCCAGACCTGCCTGGGGAGTTTTCAGCGAGAAAGCTCGGGGTTTAGGGGTTTAGGGTTTAGGATTTCGGGTTTAGGGGTTTGGGGTTTTAGGGTTTGGGGTTTAGGGTTTGGGGTTTAGGGTTTGTTATAAATCGATGACCTGCTGCACCTTTTGCAAGCGGAATTACTTTCCGGCGTGTGCCAACCCCAGGACTCTTTGACCCAACCCAAAAACCTCACTGGGGAAGGGATATTCCGAAACCTAAACCCAACCCTAAACTCCCCTAAACCCTAAACCTTGCCACCCCACCCCTGAGCCCCCCTGCGGCACGAAGGAAGGCCATGGACTTCTCTGTGTGGAGGTCAACCTTAAGGTCATTTTTTCGGCTGGGGGCCATGGCTCGTAGGGTTTTCGGTTTAGGGCATTTAGGGTTTAGGATTTTAGGGTTTTCGGTTTAGGCGTTTTTGATTTTTTGCAGCAGGCTCTCAATTTGCTTTTCGGAGTCTGGTCGGTGACGATAAGGCTGTTGACGGTCACACTCCTACGGCTTTTCCGCTTGGGGCTTAGCGTTTTGCGTTTTGTAGGCTGTGAACCGCGATAGGAGTTTCTAGCAAACATATGGGGTCATAGAACTCTTAAGAGTCTGGGCGGGAAAGCGGCGGCTAAGTGGCTCGACATGGCCCCGAATGCTGCCCAAAAAGTCAGCAGTTGGCTCAACATGTCACCTAAACCCTGAACCCGAAACACCAAACCCTGAACCCTAAGCCCTAGTTTACGACGGATGCATCCACATTCAGCACGCTCATTGCCCTCGTAACTGCTGCCGAGGTGGCGTCGATGTCGAACCTCAGTCCAAGCAACTCCAGCCCTTTAGAGTTGAGGCTTTAGGGCTTTGGGTTTAGCGTCAACGGTTCTGGTGTCCGCAGGCATGTTGCGTGGCATCCGCAACCTCCCTTGGCAAGGTCCCCCACCTCATCCGCACCTCATCCGGTAACTGCGATTGCTGATGGAACTTGAAGGATGGCTTTTGAGCTGTTTTGTAAGTCCTCTCATTCTCTCTGGATGCACTTGAAGGCTTAGAAGGCTCCACACAAATTGAAGCAGAAATCCCGGAAAGGAGGCGGGCTCTTGGCCACTAAGGAAGTACAGCACAGAAGACAAAATCCCCACCCTCAACCCAAAACGCGCGTAACGGCCGCTCCAAACTCCACAACATGCCTAAAATTACTAAACCTCCGAACCCCCAACCCCCCTAAATACCGCCAAACGCTAAACCTCAAACTCATGTAGACGAACCTTTATAGGAGTCTTCAAAAGAATCTTTTCCTGACGCCTTATAGTAAACACCTGAAACCCCATATAGACTCTAATCCCTATACTCAAAAGCTTAAACCCAAAAGCCAAACCCTAAATCCAAGACCGAAGCCCTCAACCCAAGACCAAAACCCGAACCCCCCCCCCAAAAAAAAAAAATATATATATATATATATACAAAATCTGAAAGCCAAAGCTCAAAAATCCAAAACATGTGGGCGAAAAAATGGGCGAGCCACTTGAGGTTGAAGCTCCACGCCCCTCGGACCGTTCCATCTGCATCCTCGGCTGCCGCAAGGTTCCAAGGAGAGGTTTGAGGCCAAGGTTTCGGGGTTTAGGGATAAGGGTTAGGGTTTGGGGGAGGGTTGGGGTTTAGGGCCAGGGCGTTCGGGGCGCAGGGCTCTGCATGCAAGGATTACGGCCGGTTCGGGACTTGCCTTGGGGTTTGTACTTTCTGGTTGCGGGTGGACTTTGCTGGGGTTCCCTGAAGTTGAAGGGCCTGCAGGTGAGGAAGAAGGTCGGATGCATGACAATGTGAAAGTATTCTTACATTATGGAACCTATATTGGGGTTGTCCAAGTTTGAAGGACATGGCAGAGTTGGCAGTTTTACCAGGATTGAAAGCCAGGGTCGTCGGTCGTTGGCCTGCAAGT